AACCGCTGAACTGCAGATAACAGTCAGCTGAAGTGGCCTGCAGTATTGCACCCTAACCACTGCGCCACCTCGGCTCTTTTTTTAAGTGAAACACCTTGGGAATGTTGCAAGAATATTTCAAATTAAACAACAGGCTTAGTGCTGCAAATATATGCGTAATTAAAGAGGGTGGGTCTTCACTGCAATATCAATTGTTCAGAAAGCTTACAATATTAAAAAAAGAAAAGGACAATGTATTTATTATGAATATTATATATATTCAAATACAACTTTAAACAAGAATCAGTTGAATACCATCCAATCTTTTAAAGAGCATTCACAGAAAAATCTAATGGCAGGAATAAGAACTTATAACTAATCTACATCAGTTGCAGAAAACAACTATGAAATAAAAATCTCTCACTTAAATGTCTCCAACTGTTGAACAATCAAATGATCATTCTTAGTTAAGAATCTCCTTTTTAAAAATCGTGATGTTGGATCTATAGCTCTACTGCTAATCTCACTACCAACTTGGCTTCCCATCAGTGGAAATCTATTCAAAGAGTTCTCCACTAGAAGGTGGAAAGAGGCATTTTCTTCTTTTCCTATTGTTCTTCATTTCTGCACAACCCTTCAGAACAACTTTTCACTGGACATAAGGGGAAGAAAAAAATAAGACCTCTCCAGTGGGAAGCCTATACTAAAGTCCCTTGTGAGGATTTGCTTCCAACTTCCTTCTCAGGGATTTATGATGGAGTGCAGTTTACTTGAGCATTTTGTTTTTCCTTTTCTAATGGACTGGGGGCCATAATCAACATTTATTCAACTGAACAAAAAGCCAATCCTTACAAGTCTAAACAAACTTTTAATACAAGACATTAGCTTTACAAAATATATTTCCAAGCAATGACATAAGACATTATCCCAAACTCCTTTACACCAGTTTAATCATACATTCAGGATTGAGTTATAAACGACATGGGAACTTTGTGGCCATATAGATGTTATTGCAGTATAACTCTCTCACTTTAATTATTGATGCTTATAAGTTTGATTGGACTGAAATCCAATTATATGTGTTGGACCAATTGGTCTCTACCTTTGTGCAATATTTGAACTATTTTAGTAAACTATGGAACATTGCTGAAGTAAGTAGCTTTTTCTCATTCACTTAAGATTATCCTAATAGCCAATTCTTTTTATCCCTGCAAGATTAATCCAAGATAAACAATAAGCAGACCGCACCTTAACTTTCAACTTTAGAGATGACAATCATAATATAAACTCGATAATTTTCAACATACCTTGAGTGTAGAACACAGCATTTCCGTGTCAGAAATAGCTTTCTGGAGTGATTCTACAGTGGCATTACGTAGATCCAGTGTCTCTCTCAATGCATTTACAATAGATTGACAATCTCGTTTTTCTTTCTCTGAAGCAAAAAATTATAATGGAAGTAAGGGCCACCTGAACGTTATTATTTTTAATATTTAGTGAAGAAATAATTCTTAACACACATAGCAAAGATCTAGAATTGAGTGAGAAAGGAATTTAGCCAGAGGCAGTACATGCAAGCAGAGTACAGTATAACAATTGGAAGGGACCTTGGAGATCATCTAGTCCAACCCCTTCTCAAGCAGGAGTCTCTACACTACTCCGGACAAACAGCTGTCCCTTTACTTATTAAAAACCTCCAGTGATGGAGCACCTACAACCTCTGGAGTCAAGTCATTCTATTGATTAATTGCTCTCACTGAGGAAATTTCTCCTTAATTCTAGCTAGGTTAGATCTGTCTTTTGCTAAGCTTCCGTCTGTTACTTCTTGCCTTGCCCTCAAGTGCTTTGGAGAATAGGTTGATCCCCTACTCTAACAGTCTCTCAAAAATTGGTAAACTATTATATCATCCCCAGGCCTTGTCTTCATTAGAATAGATATTCTCACTTCTTGCAAGTGTTTATTGTACAGCTTAGCTTCCAGCCCACCAATCATCTGAGTTCTTCTTCTAGAAAGCACTCTTTCTAGAGTCTCAGAATATTTTTTGCATCTTGTCGACCAAAACTGCAATAAAGTCACTGTCTTTATCTGGCTCTCCAAAAGCTATGGACGCACCTATTTTTTTGGAACACTCCTCTGGGAATCACTTCCCTTTCAACTTTCTTTTTGTATTGTGTATGTGCAAATATACAAGGAGAGACAATTGTAAAGAAAGAGGGTAGAAAAAGGATGGGCTGACATACTGTAGATGAGATTCAAGTTGAACTCTCCATCTCCTTTTGGTTTTGACATCATCCACTATCTCATTCAGGGTCAATTACAATCTTCTACAGTCCTAAAGGACTTTTCTTGTAGATTAAGGATTTCCCATTCTGTTCTTAAAAATCTTTGGAGATCTGCCAAAACCATTGTATCAATAGCACTGGATACAAAGTGCTAGAAATAATCCTTGTTAAAAACTTCCACCAGATTTCAAAGCCTCTTTTATATCCCTTCAGAGCTTGTTCATTGGGCTGAGGCAATACACACCCTACCATCCTATTTCTTCAGGATCAGAATGTACTCCAGCATAGGGGCAATGCCTTGCAAAGAGTCACTGCATTCCATGAACCAACAGTTACAGAATGATGTACTAATGACGCTTTGAAGACCAATTGTAGAAGTATTGTTTTTTGTTTTCTCAATTAGGATTCTCATAGGTCGATATGTATTGACAAAAAGTACAGTGAAACAAGAGGGCAGGGCTGTTTTGCTGAATGATTACACTGCTGTCTTGTCATTCACTTTCACTGCAGCTTGTGCTTTGGGGTGAGGAAAACAAAACTCCTGGCCCAGTTTGTATGGTTGTAAATATTATTATCCTTTAAGATCTCATAAGAGACAAATGTTATATTCAAGGAAGGAAGATCTATGAAACTGTCTCACTCTCACAGGTAAAGGTAGAAATACCTGTAGATGAATTTGATTCCTAGTGACTACAGTTTTCTTTATAGTATGGAAATGGTTTGCCCTTTTCTTTTTTGAGTATGTTTATTATCTGTCCCTGGTATTCATAGTGGTATTCTGCTTAGCTTCCAAATTAAAGACTGTTAGTTTCAACCACCACTGAGAGCCTCAACCATTAATTTTTTTAAAAAAAACATTGTTCCAAAATGCTTCTGATTCAATGTATAACTGATTTTAGAAATCTACAAGTCAGCAAAGTATTCTGATACATATTATTTCAATTGCTGGAGTCTCAATCTAAAAAGGTAAATTGGATACAATGACATTACTGAGTCCTGAATTTGTAGTGTTGTGGTCAAAACCTGGCTCACTTAGAGCAATCATTAAATTACTTTGAAGATACAATGCAATTTGTATCTATAATCTATCTCCCATTCCTCTCTTGCAGCTAGGAAATCAGACAGACAATAGTAATCAGCAGAGGAGATTTAGTGTGTAAAAACGTATACAAGCACACAGACTAGTGCACCATATAACTGAAAGGAAGGTAAAGCAATGTGCACATCATCTACTTCCTTGATAAACACGTACATAATTTTACACAAATGCTTACAAACAAAAAACAAGTACTCACTTTGAATACTGTTCATATTTACTTCCCTCACTGAGTCAATCAGCAGAATCCAAAACATACATCAAAACTGTCCACCACTTGCAGAGTCAGCTAGCAAAAATTCAAATTCGACCATGCAGCTTTCATTATACTTGGATTCATACTGCATCTCATGGTGCTTTCCACTGGTACCCATTAACTTGTACCGTTTTTTTCAAAATAAAATTTGCTGGCCAAATTGAAATTCCCTCAAATGGGTTCAGAATGGGAGAGGACAAGGGAGGTGGCAGAGAGCACAAGTCTGCAAAATGGCAAGAGTGTGATGCAAGACTGCCTTCCTTCTCATCCTTTCAGTCTGAATTACAGTACAAAATTGTTCTGGCCAAAACCCCACTCACCTAAAGCAACCAAATCACTTTGAAGACACAATGTAATTTTACTAGCAGGCAAACAATAAAGCAGAATCTCCTGGGCATCCCAGCAAAGCAATAGAAATTTGTGCTGGGCAACCCTGATAAAATGCAAAACCAGAGCTTATATACCCTTGGCCTACTAGATTGCAAAGGAAAGGCAATAAAATAGCCAGACACAGAGGAAATTACTGTAAAGCATGACCATGGAATGTTTTTGGATAATTTCTCTGGATAACCTTATTATGTATCTCTTCCTACTAGTTCAGCATGCCAGCAATACTACGTCTGAGATAAAATAACTTTATGGTGGACTGATTCCATTTATGGAGGACTCCTACTGATTCTTCTTCCTTTCACTGCTCAGGGTCAGTTAGTGAATGCAGAGTATGTGGGAGGATGTCCATTTCACCGTCACGGCAAATATACGGGAAAGAAAATAATCCAGTAAGAATGAATGTTTTAGAAACAATGACTACTCCCGACCGCTCTTATAAAACTTTCTTTTTTACTGTGTTCTGATATTTTAAGACTTTTGTCTTTCAAATTAAATTACATTTTCCTCACTCTTTATGACTCATAACCATTTATAGAGAATAATAAAAAGATCATATTCTTAAAATTGTGGAAATGGAAGGGAATGAATAATAAGACTCACAGAACATCCTCATAAGTTTCTTATATTTCAATTCAATGAATCAAACCTATAATGTTTCTATTGCACAACCCTGGACACTAGCAGATAAATGCAGTATTTCCCAAAATAATTATTTAAAGTTGGGATATTTAGATGTTCATCAAGCTCAATTTTATCATGTAAAATCTATGGCCAAACAAGAGTTGGCCTATAATCAATTAGTGGTTCTTTTATTTATTTATTGATTGATTGGCTAAATATGGTGGTTCATGGCATTTAGTTTACTCTCAACAAAAGAGACTATATGTAGGTCAGAGTTGAACTGTGGAGTCTCTCTCTGAGCTTGGTTGGTTGTTTGCAGACGTTTCATTACTCAACTAGGTAATATGTTCAATCCTAGAAGGGCCTGGGATTTGCTTTCTGTTTATATACAGTAGCTTGCCTGTCAGTGTTAGTGGGAATATTATTTTCTCCTTGGTAGTTCCTTGATTAGGCTGTTGTTTACTGTTTGCCTGTTAAATTCCTGCATAGTGTTTTTGGATTTTGTGGGTGTGCACCCTTGAACACCAGTTAGGAGTCAGAAGACATCATAAAAACTCCTTAATTTCACAACACATGGACAAAGTTAACTATAATTTCAACTGGAAACAGTAAGCATCCTAGACCAAGCTAAAACCCAAAACATCAGGGGATGCCTGGAAGCTTGGCACTCTAGACAAATCAACAGGCAAATCGATATAAACAACATTTACACACTATTCAAGAGATAATAACAAAGCTAAAAAGAAAACAAAAAGAACCAGAACACCTTCTCACTAGCGATCAACACCAAGATAAGCAGGGATTAGTGGTAGGATAAACACTACACAAAAAATCAAGCAGTAAACAAAAGCTTAATCAAGGAACTACAGGTAGTCTTTGACTTAATGACCACAACTGACCCCAGAATTTCTGTTAGTGAGACATTTGTTAAGTGAGTTTAGCCCCATTTTATAACCTTTGTTGCCAGTTGTTAATTGAATCACCACAGTTGTTAAGTCAATAACATGGTTGTTAATCTGGCTTCCCCATTGATTTTACTTGTCAGGTCAGAAAAGGTGACCATATGACCCCGGGATACCACAACCATCTAAATACGAGTCAGTTGCCAAGTGTCAGAATTTTGAAAGCTGCAATGGTGATAAGTATGAAAAGTGGTTGTAAATCATATTTTCAGTGCCACTGTAACTTTGTCGCAAAACAAACTGTTGTTAAGTCAAGGACTACCTGTACCAATATAAACAGAGAACAAACCCTACTCTCTTCTAGCACAGAAGTTGTTACAAGATAGTTAACAAAATGTCTGCAACCAAACTACCCAGCACGAAGTAGTCCACATTTCATTTACTCTTAATCATGCGCAGGCAGAAGAAATTTCATTCCTCAAATTTGGAGGCAGAAGAAATTTTATACAGATTGTGTAAAAAGACTAGGACAGTGATAGTGAACTTTTCAGCACTAAGTGCCGAAAAGGTGGATGTGACCAGTTTCTGGTGCCGCCATGTGTGTTGGCTACTAGTCTTCCGGTTAATGGCGCGCAAGTGTGCACTACGATCAGCTGGCCTGGCGTGCATGCTCACGCTGGAAAATGGAAGACCAGGTCTTCCAGTTTCCAGCACTGCTGCATGCACAAAGGCCAGCTGATCATTACATGTTCATGTGTGCTAGAAACCCAGAAGAGGAAAGGGCAACACCACACGTGCCAGGTCACATTACTCTGTGTGACACTTCAGGCACATGTGCCATAGGTTTGCCATCATGGGACTTGGACAATGCCATAACAACAATTAGGCCCTCAACGTACATTTTATTGTCTCAGGCCACACATTTTTCAACTTACCTTTCATGGATAGCTGAGCTTTCACCCTATCTAGTTCATTCTGAAACACAAAGAAATTAAATCAGGTTAAAGAACAAAGTCCAAGATATTCTTACAACTTAAAAAAAAAAAGGTAATGTATGCTAAAGCCAGGCAGGCTCTGTCTAAGCAAAACATGTGTGATGTGTTCACTGTTGTTCATTTTCTGAATGTTATTAATGTTGTTGCCTGATCAGTTAATCTGCTTTCAGCTACTAATTTATTATCACAAATCAGCTGACCAATGCAGGGAAAGTACAAGAGCCTCCACGGAGCACCAGAGTTCCATGGATCACAATCTTGACAATCACTACTTTAGAACTACAGGAATGCTAAATAAAAGATCTTGAAGAATTAATATCAGAAAAAAATATCATCTTATTAAGTATTTTTCAGTTTCATTTTTCAATTGTTAAGCAATATCAGGAGACACACAGAATAAAACTTTTTTATATTTTAATTTAGCAAGGCAGTCAGGCAAATATTCTGCCCAGCAAAATATATTAACCTATTTTAACTAATATGAAAACCCATTAAAACTGACCCATTCAATACACACCCAAGTATAACAGCATCTGCAAAATCTATTATTTTAATGAAGTCCAAAAAAAACAATTTGCAATAGCATATGGACACACTTACACTAAGTACAATTAAAGCATTGTTTACTGCTCATTCAAATGAGTTTGGATGCTACTGATGCAGATTAGCAGCTGGATGAAACAGACAGCATTAAACTGACACCAATCTGGAGGAAATTTCATGAACTGAACACTGAAGAGGTCTTTGGAACAATTGGCACTTTTTAATAATAAAAAAGAGAAAATATATTGAATACAGAATAGGATACAGAATAACAGAGTTGGAGGTCTTCTAGTCCAACCTCCTGCTCAAGCAGGAGACACATTGTGGACAATGGTTTGATAGGTTTCCACCTGTTACTTCTTGTCCTGTCCCCTCAGATGCTTTGAGGAACACATTGTCTCTCTTTTCTCTGTGACAGCCCTTCAAATATTGGAAGACTGCTATTATGTTATTCCTAGTCCTTCCTTCTCTCTCCCTCCCTTCCACACACATATATTATACTATATATGAATATAGTATTTCTTTCTTTCAGAATTTTACACTTGATAATGCTACCATTATCAAGTGTAAAATTACTGTGTTTTAAAAATGTCAAAACGAAATGAAATAATTTCTCTATAAGCTAGAAAGAAGCCTTACAAGGAACTCCTTGAACCCTGAAAACATCATGGTATTAAAAAAATCCTGCAGGAGGGTACAGACAGAGGTGGTTTTCAGCAGGTTCTGATCAGTTCTGGAGAACCGGTAGTGGAAAATTTGAGTATTTTGGAGAACCGGTAAATACCACCTCTGACTGGCCCTGCCCCCATTTATTCTCTGCCTCCCAAGTCTTATCGGGAGGAAATGGGGATTTTGCAGTAACCTTCTCCTGCTATGCCTATCAAGCCACGACACACCCACCAAGCCACGCCCACAGAACCGGTAGTAACCACTGGTACAGAGGATTAGCAGAAATGAAAAAAAAATTACAATATATTTACACGTGTTACTGTATTTTAGCATTCTTTTAAGTATTTGTGAATGAAATGACAAAAGCAGCATATGAATATTTTAGATAATGACTATATGCATGAAAGAATTCAGTACACCAGCAGATATTATTTCCTAGAGAATAAAAAATAATGAGATTACAAGATCTCAAAACCATCTTCCTTCTGGGTTACATCTAGTATATTTAAAAGGGTCCTTTATCTTTTGTAAATTATTCGGGGGTGGGTGGGTGGGATTGTAAGATAACAGAAGATGCAAGGCTGGTAGCTTCCTGAAATTTCCTTTCTCCAGGAAAATGTTGAATGAAACCTCACAGTTGACTAATCAACCACATCAGTATTTGAAGTTATGAAACTTTTCATTTTAGGAAACTGGATAATGAAATACATATTTCAAAAAAGGACACAAAACCCATAATATTGCCTTTCTCTCTTTGAAGTTTCCAAACCTGCATTTACCATAGCATAATACAGTATAGCATGTTAATATTCATATAGCATATAAATATTCTTATAACATTTGTTCATACCACCCTTTTCAGAAAAATGCTTTTCAAAATTTGCAGAAAAGACAGCTCACAAACCCCCACCCAAATTTAATTAATAGGTTCATCTCACCCTATCCTAGGACCTGATGAAAGGTCCAACTTTTTTTTAATTCCATCAACTTTAAAGTATCATCTGCATTTCATGCTTGCCTATAAGCCATGCCATACAGTAAAACATCTGCACAGACCAAACCTCAGCATATTTGGGTTGGCATATTCTACGTATATGAGCTTTTTTATTCTAGAATAGCTTTCTACCATTAGATAACGATTCCGATTGCATGAAAAAGTGAGTACATTAAATAAACCCACCTCACTGGATTACAATATAAAATTTAACAGTGGAGATGTATCAGATTCAAAGATTAAAAAACAATGCTTCAGAGTGGATGTGACACTATATCTATCTTTATACAGAGGTGTTAATATTAAGCACCTTTTTATCTTCCTCTCTGAAGTGTTGCACGTCCACATTTAACTGTTTTCTTATAATAACTGTTTCAATAACTGCAAATTATTTCCTTTTCTCAAGTTTGCAGCAATTTGAATATTTCATAATTGATTCTCTCAATGTATAGGGTTTCCACAATCAAAATGATGCAAGGCAGCAAACAGTGGGTTTAAATATATTTAAATAAACAAGACCAAATATAGTAATAATAGTGCATTGGGAGATACACGAAAATCAAACAACCACCATTCAAGCAGTTCGCAGATCGCCTTGATTCAAGGAACTTTCTATTGCTTTCCTAAAGGTCAGCAAAGTTGGGGCCAAATGGACCTCAGGAAGAATGCTATCCCAGAGGCCAGGAGCAATAACAGAGAAGCATATCTCTAGAGTTTCACAAAATGATATTGATTTGTAGATGGGACTTGGATCACACCTTATCTTACAGGACTAGTAGGTAAGATTGAAAATATCTAGTTCCTGATCCATGAACTATCAGCATTTTGAATTACAACTAATAGTTCACTAGTTTCCAGTGCAATGGTGAAGTAGAGGTATAGAAAAATATATTCTGGGTCCCTTGCACTGTGCATAGCAACAGTTCAAATGGGAGGTGACTGTAGCATGAATGACTGAAAATAATCTGTTGGCCAAGGAAAAGGTCTAATCCAGTGGTTCCCAAACTTTTTCAGTCCACCACCCCCTTGGTGCTACAAACTGATCCTTAGTGCCCCCCACCCAGTGGTGGAATTCAATTTTTTTTACTACCGGTTCTGTGGGCGTGGCTTGGTGGGTGTGGCTGGGGGGGGTTCACTGGGCGGTTTGCACGACGGAAGGAAGATAGTAACAGTAAAATTCAAAACTGTAACAATTAATTGGACATTTATTCAAACTCCAGTTTAAAACCCTTTTAGTTAAAGATAATTCAACAAAATTGTTGAACATGATNACGGTTTAGGTCGTACCTCATTCAATAGTATCAACTGTGAGAGGGATCTTGGAGTCCTAGTGGACAATCACTTAAATATGAGCTAGCAGTGTGCTGCAGCTGCCAAAAAAGCCAATACAGTTCTAGGCTGCATTAGCAGCTCAGGAATAGAATCAAGATCACATGAAGTGTTAATACCACTTTATAATACCTTGGTAAGGTCACACTTGGAATACTGCATCCAGTTTTAGTCGCCACAATGTAAAAAATATGTTGAAGGAGTGCAGAGAAGAGCAACAAAAATGATTAGGGGACTGGAGCCTAAAACATTTAAAGACCAGTTACTGGAATTGGGTATGTTTGGTTTAATGAAAAGAAGGACTAGGGATGACATGATAGCAGGATTCCAATATCTCAGGAGTTGCCACAAAGATGGAGTCAAGCTATTCTCTAAAGCACCTGAGGGTAGGACAAGAAGCAATGGATGGAAACTAATTAAGGAAAGAAGCAACTTAGAACTGAGGAGAAATTGCCTGACAGAATAATTAATCAGTGGAACAGCTTGCCTCCATTTGTGAATGCCCCAACACTAGAAGTTTTTAAGAAGAGATTGGACAACCATTTGTCTGAAGTGGTATAGGTTCACCTGCCTGAGCAGGGGGTTGGACTAGGAGACCTCCAAGGACCCTTCCAGCTCTGTTATTCTATTCTAGTTTTGGAGCTTTCACAACTTCTGGAGGCAAGTTGTTCCATTAAGCCTGCACTTATTCAACAAAGCTGGAAAACTCTAGCAAAGAAACAGAGATACAGCATTTAGTAACGGCAGCATCTCTAAAAGGACTCGGCAAGGACCAGATTGAATTGTTGAGGCTTTCCTGAATTTAGGACAGAGGTCCTCAGGGCTGGCTGGAGAATTCTGGGAGTTGAAGTCCACAAGTCTTAAAAGTTGCCAAGTTTGGGGACCCTTGATTTAGAACTTGAAAAAGATATCACGTCTCCGCAGTTTCTCTGGTTACCAAGTGGAATATGAGGAAAGTCTCGACCTACCCTCCCTCCGCTGGACGTTCAAGTTATCCCTCCTATACATCCCAACACGCTTCCACCATATATATATATTTTCTCTCTACCCTCCCGGCGTGGGGGGAGAGATGGTGGGGAGAGAGGGAGGGAAACAGCGCTTCCTGCACCGCACCCGAGTTCAAATCCTTCGATAATAATAATAAATAAAATTTTAAAAAAACCAGGCTCAAACTTACTTATTAGGTTGCAAAATCAAATTTGGCTCCTTTCACCTTCTTCCGGCTGGGGACGGAAGTGACATCACACACACTACAGACGCGGTTTATTCCGGAAGCGCGAGAGCGACGTTTCTGCCCCTTCGCGTATTTGGCTGAAGTCGGAGTGGGTGTGGCTAAGAGGCATCCGAGATCCAGGGGCCCCTCCCGTCAATGTGTCTACTGTAGTTCTGCGCCCTACGCAGCTGAGTGTGCTAAACCAGTGTAGCTGCTTTGTCTGTTTTAGCCC